TCTGTTTGTGACGATATATATATATATATATATATCTATATATATATATATATATAACTCCGACGAAACAGTTTATCACAGCCCCTCGTTTGTTGTCCTCTTCTCTCTCTCTGCCTACGGTTTACCGGGCAGTTCTGTTTGTGACGATATATATATATATATATACCTGCCTACCACTACTCCCACGCATATAATATACAGAGGACCCCTGGCAAATGCAAAGCATAGCTACCTCTGACCCAGCTGAGATTTGTGTGTCTTCTGCTCATAATGCGAGCCAGAGGGCATACTCACACTAGCACGTACTTTTGCAAAATCGCAAGTTTTATGTGGTTTTCCGGGTCACACCAGTGGGCAAGTCCCACTAGCAGCGTTGAGCTACCTCAATGCCTGAACCTGGACGCTTTTGCGGAGATGTGCAGAAATGGTGTTGAGTTTGCTAAACTGCACGTCTCCACAAACACGCCCAGATTCGGGCGTTGAGGTAGCTCAACGCTGCTAGTGGGACTTGGCCCCAGGCACGTATTGTGCGTGTTCACACAAAAGGACACGTAAATGTCAGCAGCCTGCTGGACAGCCGGGGACTTACATATTTTGCGGGGACCTGCAAATGTCAGAGGTCCCCGCAAAATCGCATTTCTTTTTTTTTTCTTTTTTAAATTTGGACCATTTCTCGATTTATGCGTGTCATCCTTGCGGTGAAGTCCCACCGCCCAAGTTTAGAAAATGTAACCGTGTGACACCATTTTGACATTAATAAATTCGAAACAAGAAATTAAAAAACTGAAAAAAAAAATGCTAGGAACAACTTTTCTACACTTCTGGCACAATCGGAGTGAATGTCTCCGTGGAAAAGGGATACCTCCCGTGGTGAGGGGACAGGAGGTCACCATTCGTAAAATGGACAGCGACAACATGGATGGCCAGATGGGTTCATTGCCCAAAGAAGGAAGAGAGTTCTATGCGAGAGAGCCAAACAGAGTTGTCAGAGTTCCTCCTTTTCAGGGTGTAATGATGTCTTAAAAAAAGTAAAAAATGAAAGGCAAATAAGTTGAGAAATCTACCCTACCCTCTCTAGGGTAGTTTTCTCAACGGAAAATGGTTTCCTGCCCAAACGGAAAGGGCCAAAGCATACGACAAAACGGATTTCACGTCAACGAAAAAATGTACAAAACGACCAAATCTAATAGGTTATTCTCCTGTATTTTGGTACCCTTAGATTCTCAATACATCAACAGCAGAGCTCCGTCCCACCATGCCACCCGTGATAGAAAGCTCAGCGTTGAGAAAACTCAACTTCGGCGGTGGGACTTCACCCCAGGGGCCATGCTAATCTTCTCTGTATCGTTCCAATTTTAACGGATGTCCCGAAGGACAATTGCATTTCTTTTTCCTCTACTGCTTTCTGGAAGAAAAAAAAAAATAAAAAAAAAATAAAAAAAATGTATAAGTGCATTGTGCTGTCTGACTGCACACAACGCTTTTTTTTTTTTTTTTTTAAAGTAATTTATATTCTTCTCTCAATCTATTTCATCTTTCTTGGTAGTACACATCTATCTCATCCTCTCACTAGTCTATTTATAGTACGGGGAACACCAACCAACCCGGATCTCTCCCCATCCTCTCACTAGTCTATTTATAGTATGGCGGAACACCAACCAACCCGGATCTCTCCCCAGCCCACAGGGTAGGTTTGCACCACAACTGTGGTGCGAGAGCAAGGCTGTACCAGTCCCTCATCACGGTGACGAGGGGTGGGCAGGCATTGCTGATGGGAGAAATCGGCGGTGCTACCGCCGAGCAATGGCCAGTCACTGCACCTCCCCCTACCCCCCCCCAACCCCACATGGCGGTGTCTAATGGCGAATATTGCGGCTGCATAGCAGCCAACAACATCAGCCAAGCAGCCAACAACATCATCCAAGGTCCTGCCAATGCTGGCTTGGGGGGCCAACGGGTTATCTCTAGCTGGTAGAACACCAAGCTTGCCCAGGCACATACGTGAGGCCAATGGGGATTGAACCCACGACCTCCTGAATGCAACTTCTGTGCCTTACCAACTGAGATAAGCCCGCATCTCAAGGCCAGGGCACGACCCTGTCCTTTCTGCATCGCGCAACAAACCGGTGAGCAGTGTGACCCGCCGGTGCCATATAAACGCAAATTCACATACGTAAAATTTGTAGAAGTACATGCTAGTGTGAGTATGCCCTCTGAAGGGGTTAAAAAAAAAAAAAAAAAGACGAGACMCCCCCCGCCTCTTGGCCTGCGAGAGAACATCCTCTGTTTTGTTTTGCTCGTTAGTGCCAGTCCTGCCAACATAGCACCCAATCACCAAACGAGAATGCGAAGGGACGAGGACGACAACCCACCCCAGGAACGACACGAAAGAATACCATGCCCCCACCACTCGGATTGGCCAATCAATTAGGATTAGGAAAGCGACACTCAAGGCATACTCCTAAGAAATCGGGATTTATCTATTGTACACCAACCCGAGGGGTGAACGTATTTACAGCCGTGCGTTGGCCAATGTCGGCCCGTGTCCACTGGCATGCGTGAGGCTGCACAACGTTTCGAGATGACAACATCAAGCCACAGTCTGCACTGCTTTGCTAACCAGTGCTCTACCCACTAGTCTAGACTCCCGGAGTTTCGAGAGTAACGCCTGGCTCAACTTACTCTAGACTGGAACTCATAACAACACTGTGACGAACCAATTTCTGTTTCGCCTGATTTTCTGCGCGATGGCAATGAGGGGTCCTAAGATGGGAAGGTTGGGCCAATTACGGGAGATCGGGATCGAAGGGAAATTGCATCAGTGTCCTCGCTTCTTCGTCTTTTTGCGTCGTTTCTTTTCGGACGGCTGGGTTTAGGGCCGGGCAAGTCCCGAGATGGCCGATTGATTGGCTGGCGCGCCGACAAGGCGCGATTAATAATGGTTGACGTCACTTCTTTCTTGTTCTATTGTCGGGTTTTAGGCGCGGAGATCGTGCGGGAATTTGCTTCATTCTTTTTCAATTTCTTTTTCGAATATTGTCGAGCCCTTGACGGCT